TTCTACCGTGTAGGCTTAAAAGGAACACCGAGTCACGAAATGCGGAGGATTTTCTTTCTGTTTGCCATGCGGTATCAACTTACAACAGAAGTCGAAAGTTAAAAATGAAACACCCGAAAATGCATGAAACTTTGGAGAGCCTGGTGATGCGACTAATTGTTTTATACTGAAACTTGCCTTCAAAAAGTGCTTCCTTGGTGTTATCCACATTTATTGCACGTTGAACACACGTCCACCACAACAGGAAGTAAAAAAAACCTGCAACTGCGTTAATTGCGTTCATTTTTTTTAACGCGTTAATTATTTAAAATTAATTGCATGCGTTAACGCGTTCATTTTGACAGCGCTAATATATATATATATATATATAATATATAAATATATATATATATATATATATATATATATATGTATATATGTATATATATGTATATATATATATATATATATATATAAAGTAATAGTATTTTCCCAGCCTTTTTTAAAATGTTAATGTTAAAAAAAGCTTAACATTAACTGTAAAAATATCCCTCGCTGTTGTTTGGAGTGTAGAACTTGGAGCATGTTTTAGCACACAGACACAAAGCACACAGAAAGCTGAATATCAGATGCTCCATCACATGAGTTTTCAGTCCCTGATATACTTCAAACAAAGTTTTTTACTTTCTTTGTTTGAGGGCAAAATATTTTAGCATTGATCTATTCAACAGCTCAAAAAGAGCAACTGTAAAATAGATGTTATGAGCATCCTCTGAATGAAAAGCAGGAAGAATGATTTTGAGTTTGCGCCTTTTTTTAGCTTATAGGTAGCATAATTGAGGGAGCAAATTTTTATTCTTTAGAATGTACGCCGATATCTCCTGAAAAGGGTGTCTGCTTATGTGAAACATGCAAAAATGCACTGGACACTGCCAGTGAATGTACATGTGTGAATACATCTGTACCAGCTCTGCTACTCAACTGTCCGGTGTATTCATGCTGCTAACTTGGTAAGGCTGTCTCGATAATCAATATATCAACTTATCGAGCAATAGATGGACATGACCTCAATACATTTTGGTGATGCAATGTATATCGTTCATCATGTTTACATGGTGTCAGCAGGTCAGCGAAGTCCTTTTTTAAACGATGCTTACTAACAGATGAAAACGTTTTTTCACCAAAACTATTGACAGTTTGGAAATCCAAATGAGCTCTGTTTCAAAGCTATGGTCCACTTCCAGAAAAGTGACGTTTCAAACGCTTCAAGTCATTTTACAAACACATTTACTTTTGTTTTTTGTAATATTGTGTGTGTTTATGCCCATTTACAGTCTATGCTGTTGTATAGTCATTGTATAAACACTTAATTGGCATTAAAATGACAATAATATCACTTATCGCAATATATCGCACATCAAAAATAATTTATAATGACAGGCCTACAGCTTGGTGCAGTTGTTTTGGATGATGTTCTACTGTCAGACCTTTCTGAAATAAGAAAATCAAAGAAGGCAGAGATTTAGAACAAGTTGAAGATTTTGAGATAGCCAGAAACCGTGGTCAGAATAATTTTCGTGGTGTGGTTTCTTTGTGCTTCAACTGAAACATTACATACTAAAGGACATTGATAGTATAAGACGCATGATGAAACACGTTTAATGCAGTAGGTCCCTCACAAAAAAATCTGTCTTCCCCAAGTAATCTCATGTCATTGTGGCAAAAAAAAATTAAATAACAAAGAGTGACTGCTTTTAAATACTAAAATTGTTGAATGTCTTTATTAAAATCAGCCATTTATCTCATTGCTCAGATGCCCTGTTGAGGAAGGCCTTCTCCAACTCTCCTCACTCTCAATCTTATAGTTTTATCTCCTCTTTAATGGTGAACCTGGGACTTTTAAAGGTACCACGCTTAGACATGATATTGGATTTTTCTTTCATTTTGTTTGTTCCCATCGTTTGTAACTGCTGCTTTCTGTTCCAGAGTGAAGATAAGAAGGTGAAGAAAGTATCTGTACTGCCTGGACATTTGCTCACATTAGAGCATGCAGTCTCACAGGAGTTTTTCCCAGCGGATCAGGCTGGAGTTCTGGAATCCTTTGTGTCACGGTTAGTTTTTATTCACAGTAAGGGAATGTTTAGAGGTGCGTCCCAAATCCCATACTTGTGCACTAATCTACACCATTCTGTAGTATAAATAGTGTAAGTAGTGCATTCACACTGAAACTCTAAAAAGAATAAGTGCACTTTAAATACCCACTTATTCAACTTTTAATATAAAGTGTGGAATGTTGGACACTTCACGCACTCAACGGCTGCTGCTTTGCTTGTGTAGCGGAAGTAGCGGAGCTTTTGGGCACTGATGTTGGATTGCTTTATTTATTTTGTATTGTAAAAGCAAGGTTTTCCTACACAAGTGATTATGACACCTCCCGATGGTGAAGGCGGTTATACTCATGGCAGGTATTATTTGGTAGTTTGGTCATTTAGTATACTAATTTGGCAACCGGCAAACGTCATCTGGAAAAATGACACTGCATTCGTATACTGTGCTGTTGAGTGGATAGTGTATATTGTGCCATTTGGGACGGAGCTTGGATTTATTGATTTTTTTTTTTTCTGCCCACCTGGCATGCATGTTTACATCATGTTGTAATTACCGAAATTATGGTATTCCAACTTGTGAAAAGTGTCCACATCCTTTTAGAATTTATTACAAAATAGGGTTGCAGAATTTCAGGAAGTCTCAAAGCTGGAAACATTCCATGGGAATTAACAGGTGAAATAAAGGGAATAAACAGAGAATGTACACAATTGCAGATTAGCATATAACGGACTGTAGGTAAATAGTTGAAAATGTTTTTAGGATAATCTAAAAAATTCAATTTGCAAATTTATCAGTCTCATGCACTCGGGTAGGCAGACGGTGAGGCACAACTCTTTTAGGGTCACATTTACAAATATGCACCCAATATATTTGCCAACAACTACTGATTGTGTTTCATATCGCATATCAGCATTCTATCTATACACAAAGCAGGTACATATTGGGCCAAGGAAGAATGTAAAATGTATAGCAATTCAATATGCCTCCCAAAAACACCAAGGTGGATGCTTCAGACAACCTGTAACAAGAGACATAGCATCACAGCAGATGCATTCTCTCTCTCTCTCTCTCTCTCTCACACTCACACCACTCACACTCTCCCTCACAAATGCATGCACGCACACATGATTTGCACACTGATGTAACCTTTACTTGTAAATTACGTCTTGAAATGACTTGAATTACTTTGAAATGATTGAGTTATCTACTGCCTCATCCTTTGAAGCAAGCCCTTTAGCTCCCGCATTGGTCATCCAATAATTGTTCACTTTTTGATTAAAAGTCCAATTTTGAGAAGTTTTTTGAGCTGAGATATTAACGTTACATCTGAGATTTTTGCAGTCAATCAGAGCAAAACAAAATAACGTTACTTCCTGCCTCGCCTCATGTCTTTTCAATGCAGCTTTATGTCAGATTCTAACACTAAATAAGTGATAGACATACGTGAAATACATTACCTGATGGAAATGGATATGTGGAAAGTGGAGACGTATTAAGAAAAATGTCTACAATGTATAAAATCATTTTAATAAAGCATTACATTGGTAGCGTAAAGGCATGTGCTCAAGCCAGTGTGCAGTGGATTGCTCAATCTGACATAAGGCACAGCTCGGTGCTGCCTCACCTCACTTCCTACACTGTAACTGAACAGGAAGTGTGCAAAATACAGCAATTTTGATGGTAAAAATGATAAAGTATTTGAATCATAGAGAAATTGCATATATTGCACAGATCAGTTGACAGATATTGTTTTTATCATTAGTATACATCTCATGATGACAGGTAAGGATGATGACTCCAAGTCCCTGGTGGGGGGTATTCCCCAGTTTTCCCAAGCAAAAGTGATGCCTCATTTCCAAATTGGAAACTTTCTAAATGACCTGTGGAAAGTTTACAGAAACTTTCTGTCTCTTGCAACTCTATTACAAAATACACAATTTTGGAAAGCTGATCCTTCATATAAAAATTCACAATCTGAGGATGTCACTGGCCCAGAGTACAGTAAGTTAAGTTGTCATCTCAGAATTATGTAGCTTATGATTTTTGACATAGCATGAGTCCAGCATATAAATATATTATGAACATTAAGTTTAAATTTTTGTTTGGCTTTTCAGAAATGGTGCAGTCTTAGAATCCTGCTGCAGTGCCAGAGATGCTCTCAAGATCACACTGGTGAAAAGGACCACTGCTTAATTCTTAACCCTCAACACAGAGCCACTGAAATAGCTTAATACGGGTCTTAAAAAACTTGACATGAAACTCTTATAAACTAACGATTAGTTTATCATTGATCAATCAATCCTGGATCCTTTTTGGCATGCAAACCTCCGACAACCTCAAAGTACAGTGATGACTAGTGCCTCATACACAACCCGAAATGAACAGTAAATGTCAGATTGCTTTCAATAAGAGTGTTGTGTTCTTTCATCTCTTTTTAGAAATATTACTTTTATTTTTATACGTACATAAAGGGAAAATAAGAAAAATGGCACTGGATGATAATTAGAACTTAATTATCGCTTCATTATAATGTTTTAACTATGGCACTTTTAAACAACTGTCATTACTTTAAGTTCACATTTGAAGTGGAGTGGAAAGCATGTTCACCTTCTCCCCTTTTGTGAAATATTGGTGGTGGAGTTTGTTTAAAGTTAAGTAGGACAAACATCTAAGAGAAAAGAAAGAAAGAAGTGAAACTAAAGTCAAGTTAAAATGTTTGGACATTAGTATATTTAATACTACAACTAGTTTGCACTGGATATTGTTACATTTGCAACATTCCATTTTGTTGATAATAAAAAAAATCTTGGAAGAAAAAAAAGCTTGTCTGTTTTTGTGTATTTTCCACCATTTTAAAATCCATTTGCATGCAGTTTACAGAATCTGATGTCTTTTTACTCTAAAGTCATGTTGCAGGTCATCTCTCACTCCATTGCGCTTTGACCATAAATGCCCCGAGTTCACTCAGCCTTGAGACGAACCTTTCAGGCGATTTTTCTCAGTATTTTGATTCTGGAAGAAATACAGGCGTTGATCCCTATGCGCTGAACCTTTTCTCCTGCAGTAGTTTATTTATGAGAGACTGATGGCCGACCTGAGAACAGTGCGCGTCTTTGTGTGAAGCCGAGCTGCGGTCTCCACTCGCCTGAGGCTCGACGCGCATATTTCACACTTGGAAAAAATATGATTTTCGGCTGTTCGTTCGCAGTCCATAAGATGTAAAGTCTTCTGTAAGTACCTTCAACATATTACTTCTTCAAGATTTATACTTTTTCTCGTATACGGTTGTATTTTATTAGTGCTTTTATGACGGAGCAATTCCTGCGTCCTCAGAACTTCTGTTTTCATTTGACGGATATTACTGAACGAAGACTAACCTTCGTGTAAGGTAGGAAACATTTTAGGATTTATGTTGTTTGTTTTAAATTGTAAAATTAATTCATGTTAATTTATAACCCCATGTCATTTAACTGGCTTTGGTCAGTGTTACAAAAATATTTTCCTATTTATCTCAACGGGTTTTTTTTTGTCAGAAGCAGGACGTGTATGGAGATGAATAGTTTTATTTTTTTTAATTAATTCAGAACTGAAGGTTTTATCATTTACTCCATCTTTACTTCGTTTTCTGTTGAACACAAAACAAGAGACTTTGAAAAATGTCTGAAACCTTGACTTCCATTGATTGAGCAATTCCAGCGTTATGGATGTGACATTTGCAGTAAAAACTCAAAACATAAATGCACAGAGAAAGTATATGTTAACATTATATAGAAACATCCATTTAGCCTATATTTTCCAAAACAACTAACCACAGAGTAGAGGGAACGGAAAAATATCAATCTGTTTTTTTTTTTTTTTTTTTAATGAGGGAAATTAATAAATCAAGGCTACCTTATGGATGCGATCAAAAAGTTTGCGAGATTACAGTTCTGTTAATTAAACTGCACAACCCAAAACAACAATACTTATCAAAGAGATAGGAGTTGGCTCATTATAGATCAAAAAATCTTATTATATTTTACATTTTTGTATTATGAGGACAAAGCTTGTTAAATTGCCACTTCGTAAAAATTGCCACTTGTGTGACTGTTGTAAATCAAATTTAATTGTTTAAAAACATTGACAGACGTTTTTGAGAATTTTTAAAGTAGGCCTAATACTTGCTTACACACACAATCAAATAGGAAAAAAAACGTAGAAACGTTTGGCTATTTTGGCATTTGCAGTTGCTCAATGAAAGTCAATGTTTAGCAGTTCCATTCTTCAAAATATTTTTGGTGCCCAAAAGAGTGAGAAAGTCAAAGGTTTGGAAATAATGGTATGGTAAGTGATCATTTTACAATAACTGTCCCTTTAACAAAGCTGTCATTGGAGTTGTACTTTTGTAATTTATGTATTTATACTATTTATTATATACCAGAACCAAGCTAAACTAAATGAAAATCACAACTAGCTGAAAAAAAATAATTTGAAGTAAATTTAATTTCAAGTAATAAAAAAGCTTTAGTTTCTTTTAAGTTGTAAAAACCCTGATTCTTTTAAACAATACATCTGATCAGTGATTGATTTATTCAGATTAATTTCAAACTATTTTTCATCAAAATGAATTACAAGTGCTCTTTGGTTTTCTTTATTTTCAATATTCTATCTTTTACGATAAATCAGTATAGCTCTGTGTTCACATATTTTTTCAGTCTGACAAAACTATTTAGAGGGGTTTTGAATACAGCACACACTTGCATAAATATACATTTGTCACAAAATATTAAAAGAAAGATCACTGTTTTAAACAGCAATACTCGATTTCACATTGGAGTTTGCTCCTGAAGTGCTTGTTTTGACGTTTAGTTGTGAGGCAGGGAAGGAGTTGCATTCAACCATAAATTATATGAATGCTTTCAATCCGGCCAGTTCAAGCATACCAGCAGAGCTCAACACACTAAATTCCTTAAATCATGCAGCACTGGCAATCTAAGCTGGCATAAATGAAAGCTTTTCTTATAAAATAATGTAAAATCTTATGTTAAGAGGTAAATTTGGTGTTTTTTTGTGTGTCACAAATCTTTTGTTTCATGTAGAAAGGACAAAATGGGTAGCATTCCGACCTGGCCAGTTATAATATTGTTTGCCCTGAAGATTCATACAGCGCTGTCGGCCAAATGCCCAAAAGTCTGCGTTTGTGACAGCATCCAGCTCACCATTGCTTGTGTCAACAAGAATCTCACAGAGGTTCCACCTACCATTGATGAGGTAACCTGTGCAACACACTAATAGCCTTTTTTTTTTGCTTTATTGCATAACAATGATGTAAACAGAGTGGTGCAAGCATTGACTAATTTAAAATGGTGTCTTCAGTTAAATAGTACAATAAGTACAATCTGTTATAAACAACTCTAAAAATTCTTGTGCAGCATAAACTTGCCAAGACCTTTTATTATTAAAGGTGCAGTAGGCGATTGTCTTCAGAAATATTTCCTGTTGTGCTAATTAAAAGTCTCTTTACATTCCAATAGTAACGATTAATGTAAATGATCTAAATGTATTTATATGTATTTTTATATTCTAGGAAAGGCATAAGACAAAAACACATTTATCCATTTAAATAGTGTCAGGCAGGCTGACAATTCCCTTAAATCTGATAAGTAACAAAATTGTCTATAAATCAATGTAGATTTGTACAACTGCTCACCCATTCATGCAGATCCACAGCTAGTTCTTGCACACATGCCGCGGTCACATGCACATGAAAGAGTGACAGAAGTAATAACAAGTGCTGTTCAGCCACTGAAATCTTTCAGCGAAAGATTGCGTGACGTAATGTAGAGTTTTATTTAGTTTAATAGCAAGACATCAGTAAATCGTACTATTCCACCTAGCCTGCTTTAGGTGAAGTTTACTGTGGTTTCATATTTTGAACAATGACAACCTGTGACGCGGCCCCTATCCGCTTGTTAAGTGGTGACGTGTTTGTGACGTATGTATACTGTTTCCGGGTCCAAGCCGCCATTCATTTGAGTGGAGAAATCATTTGTTTATGATCGCGTTTTATTCCTATTACACATTAACCCACATAGCAAAATTTCTCTGACCCAGCTCTGGCCCACACAATCAGGTTTTGCTTGGCCCACATGCCGCAGTGAATTACGGTACATGACTGGACCAAATTTGGCTTCCAGACAAGGGCCAAACACGGACCATATCTGGGCCAAGTCTCAGCCAAGTTAATAACTCATAACTGGGCCTAAACTGGGCCAGATAGGTTGGTGTGTCACGATTGCAATGAAATTGATAAACCCATGGAGTGATGCGCTTTAGGCACACTATGGGCACGCTTTTTCTCAAAGTGACCTGATTGGTAGAATTTTTTTTCTTTACTCAAAAATTATTTTAGTGTATTTTAAATTTGGGTCAAGACTGGCCAAACTTACATGGCCCACTTATCAAATTTTTAAATCTGGGCCAAATACTACGTTTTTCATCTGGCCCAAATCTTCTGTGCCGCCTTAAAAACGGTGCCGCCTCTGCCAAACCCGGGCCATGTTTGGCCCACATGCTGTATGCCAGTGCCGGATGAATGCCTGCTGTGCCAGCTTTTTGCCAAATCTGGGCCAGAATTCTTTGCTACTAGGGAAAGTTAATTTTACATAAAGTCAGTGTACACAACAATCTCTGGGCTTGCTGCATAACAAATACCAAAATTTTAACAATTTATAAAAACAATTAATTAATTTCTGGCCATCGGATATTAGGCATGGACATATATATTGCGATCGTGACTTTCGAAAGTATTAAATCGCTTTGTAAACATTTATTATTACCATTTCTTGAATCTTCCCATTCAGTTGAATAGAGCGCTTGGACCCAGAAGCCGCTCCGCTTGACGTCACACTTAACAAGTGGATTTTGTTTACCATGCTACTGTAAATATTCAGTCTGAATTAGCATGTAAGTATAGCTTACTAATGCGTGTAATTCCGGCACCATCGACCAACCACTAAGCATACAGTAGTCACTTTAGGACAAAGCGCGTGAGAGTGAGAGACCAGCGGTTCTTGCATGCATGAAATATTGCACATTATGACGTTTTGCTTGCTACACAACTGAAAACGTGCTAGATATAATACAGTTTTTCATTCAGAATTGTAGTATTATTAAGTTTTTTTACCTGGCGAATGAGATGATCTAGTGGGTTATCTACTGTCATCTTTAATGTGTGCATTCGTGATTTCAGGAGGTGTGGATTTTGGACAGCAGGGGAGGGACTGTGTTTCAAAGATATTATGCTAACAGATAGCATTTAGGCAGATCAACTACTGCATCTTTAACTCAAATCTGTATCTCTGCAAAACTTGTGTGGTATGACAACGTCGACCTGAGGTACCTGACAATCTGGCAAAGTGCCACTAAATGGTCAGGAAGTTAAAAATGTTTAAAAATTACAAGATTAGTCTTGTTAGATTCAGAGCAGGATACTGACTCAAACTTTATCCAAACTTTACCAAACTTTATCCCCCTCTCTCTGCATTTCTTACAAAACGTTAACCTCAAAATGGCCAGTTTATATCAATTTGGTAAGTGCACCATCTGTTGATCAGAAGTGATAACCCGTTATCTAGTGCGTGTGTTAATAAAATGATCAGCCATTTTGCCTAAGTGTCAGGCTTAGCTGCTCATCCAGCCTCTATTGTGCTTGGTTGCGTACATGTCTTAATTACTGCTTGCAGCTACATTATTATTTGCATTGTTTTAATGGTCTGGTGTGTGTATATCTATCAGATAACTGTGAAACTGGACCTGCGAGGAAATGACCTGCAGGAGCTTCCTACAGGGGCGTTCGCGCACACACCGTACCTCACACACCTGTCTCTACAGAATAGCAACATCCGACGAGTGCGGGAAGGAGCCTTTAGAAAACTTGGCCGGCTGGTTTTACTCAACCTGGCCAACAACAAGATTGAGATCCTTTACCAGGTTAGACACAACATATTAGTCTTATAGCTGTAACTTCAACGTAAAGGAATAGTTCACCAAAAAAGGAAAATTCTGTCATCATCTACTCACCTTTTACTTGTTTGAAACCTTTATGAGTTTCTTTCTTCTGCTGAACACAAAGGAAGATATTGTGATGAAAGTTGGACATCTGTAACCATTGACATTCATGGTATTTGTTTTTTCTAGTATGTAAGTCAATTGTTTTAGGTTTCCAACTTTCTTCAAAATATCTTCCTTTGTGTTCAACAGAAAAAGAAATGAATATAGGCCTGTAGGCACTTGAGAGTGAGTAAATACTGAGGAAATGTAATTTTTGGTGAACTATCCCTTCAATCTATGCATACATCCTTAAAATGTTCTCTCCTTTTCAATCTAGGAGTCATTTGATGGTCTTTCCTCACTAAAGCAGCTGATTATTGACCGGAACAGAGTGGAGGAGATCCAGCCTGGAGCTTTTTCACAGCTGGGCTTTCTCAACCTCCTGTCCCTCACACACAACCAACTGGTGTACATCCCTAACATGGCGTTCCAGGGTTTGCAGAACATTAAATGGCTACGTCTCAGCCACAATTTCATCAATTATCTGGCAACAGAGGCATTTGCTGGCCTCTTTACTCTTACCAGGTTGAGCCTGGATAACAACGAACTGCAGTTTTTCCCCACTGAGACCATGACGCGGTGAGCCTAAAGACAGCTTAATTCCAAGTTTAATACAAGATATTGCATTAGATGTTATGAACGAACAATGAAACATGATTTTTATATAGTCCTTTTAGAAAAATTCTTAATTTTAAATAAGTTAAGAACTCACAGTAAAAGGATTTTAAAAAATCAACACATTTCTAACCATAATAGTTTAAATAACTTATTTCTAATAACAGATTTATTTTATCATTGCCATGATGACAGTAAATATTATTTTACTAGATATTTTTTGAGAAACTTCTATACAATTTAAAGTGGCATTTAAAGGTTTAACTAGGTTAGTTAGGTTAACTAGAAGGGGTGCATTTCCCAAACAACGACGTTACTCACGGCTGACGGCTGACTCACGGTACGATGGATCGTTTGGGAAAAGAACTATGTAATGACGAGTGTTTCCTAAAATCCCTAGTTTCTCTGTCGCAGATTCTTCGCTTGAACCACGTTATTTATAACATAAAACGCCCATAATGATGCTCTAAAGTGTTTGGACTTACTTACTTACTTACTTCTTTTAAGAAAAACCCATAATTTCTTCATGCAAATTAAATTGTTTTACACGCACACGCATTTAAAATAAAATCCAATATTAGATTTGGTAAAAACATGCACTCGCTTTCCATATTAACTGAAATATATGTAAATGGCACATAGGGCCTATGTTTGCTTTACTAATATTATTGAAAAGTTGAACATTACATATTCTATTCCAAAACATAAAATCACTTGCAAAAGCTAACACATATTCCAATATCATATCATATCAATAAATAAATAATGAAGCTATTTATTATAAAATGAAATGTAATATTTATTATTTATTAGAAATGAAAAAAACATACTTTAATAATGATATTAATGATGATGATGATGGAGATGATAATAATAATTATATTAATTATTATTATTATATTTTTAAGTAGGATATTGTTTATGTATTTTTATTTTTTGAAAAGTCTACTTTTACAATTTGATACATGCAAACCACTGCAGAAATGTTCTAACCAGCAGCCCCATGTCATATACAGCAGGGGTTCCCAAACTTTTCAGTCCGCGACCCCCAAAATGACAATGCCAGTGACTCGTGACCCCCAATATTCTCTAAGGTGGTGGTTATAAATACAGAAACCTTGTATGCAATGACGTGCACAAACACACCAATAGACCCAAGTCTATTCTTTGGTTTTTTTAATGTATGTCAGTGCTGTAAATGGGCTAGAAAGTTTAACCTGGTGTTACAAAATCTGCTGCATCTGACAGTATTGCTGTGTCTTTAGTATAATGTAATTACCCGAGAAGTCACAATCCAATAGAACTAGTAACTATAAGCTACTATAGTAACTATATAGTTTATAGTAACTATAAACAACTATTTTTTTCTCTTCAGTAGATTATTGATAAAATACAGTAAGTCTTAAGGTTTCATAAAAATTAATTGATTTTTGAAAATCACCAGGCGACCCCCCCTTCATTGTCCCGTGACCCCTCGGGGGGTCCCGACCCCCACTTTGAGAATCTCTGATATACAGTACAGATACTTAATAAATAATCCACTATAAATTAAAAGCATTAACGTATGCTTTTTGTTTTCACAAGCTTTGGAGACGTAACATAAATTCCGCTTTTAAATAACAGGTCACCTATAGCTTTCGTCATGAGGCTGTGTTCAAAATGACATCTATGTTGTTAAAGTGCACTGCGAAGGGAGCACAATTGTTAACATGAAGGTCGCTAAAACTGAACTGTAAAAATAGTTTGAAAGCAAATTACAACTAAGAGAGATAACCTTAATGCTTTTTAAATTTTTAAAAATTTTCCAATTTTGAATGTTAAAATGTTTTAAATGAATAGGGCATAGGGGGGATAAGTGGGAATAGAACACAGCCAGGAACTATGTTCCTAACTACAGCTCCAGAGCAGTAGTTGTGAGTGCTCAAGTTTCAAATAATGATGGTTTGTTCTGTAGACTTTCAAAAAATATATAGCATAAAGGGGCTACTCATTTTGGCCTTAAAATGTTTTTTAAAGAATAAATTAAATAATTAATTTAAACATCATTTGGTAAATAATTAAAAAAGAAATAAAGATTCAAGAGGGGCTAATAATTCTGACTTCAACTATATATTTTGGTTCTGTCCTAAGACGTGTAGGCCTACTTAACATGTCTGAATTTACTATAAAAGCTGACCTCACAGAATAGTTTACATATGTTTGACTAATGCTCTAATACAATATAAATCTTCCATGTCCTGTATATTTTGTGGTATTCAAGCATCTTCTGCGTAATTGAACACTTTTCTATAGGGAATGTGTGATTTTGAGATTCATCTTTTCACAGTGAGGACAGTTGAGGGACCATGCTTTTTACAAACATAAAAGTATTAACTTATGCCCAAGAAAGCAACACAGTGCATTACAGGATGATGAGGATAATGATGATATTTTTGTCAATCTTCAAGTATTTTCATATAATTCTGCCTCTCTGATGCTACATAAAATACTTACAGGCTCAGCACAATTTATTGCAGTCACTTAATCCAAAAAGTTACAACTTGTCTTGTGCCATACATGTAAACATGTGTTATATTTCGCTAGTTACACTAAACTGTAAACTGTATTTAATTCTTTAGTAATTGTGAGAAAAAAGTATTAAAAATTCTTAAGATTAATTGTTACCCATTGTTTTTGTGGAGGGTGGTGTCAAAATATTTTTAAAACACTGACCTAAATTAGTCAATTCTTTAAAAAAACGCTCATTCTTCGTTCATAATACTTCATTCATTAACTAATATTAACATTGTTGTTGTAAATATAAAATCTTCTTAAACACTTAAGTGTTAAAATGTGTTGTCTGTGACACAAAATATTTCTAAATAAAAATAATGTTCCTAAATTGCTTGCATTTAAATTCCTTTGACATACTTTTCTTATCATAAATATCTTATTACAAAAATAACAGTAAGTACAAGAATGTGCATGACAAAAATCGAAAGATGCCTTTTGATTTCATCTTCAAAGAAAATAGATATATTTTGCATTATGATCAATTTTAGAAGTCGGTGAAACTTTATTTTAAGACAATTATTACTATTAATAAATCATAACTATGACTTTTAGCTCAATAAACTCCTAATTAGCTGATTATTAAGCTGTTGGTGGGTTTGGGTATTAGGTTAGATTAGAGATGTAGAATATGATCATGCTGAATATATGTACTTTATACAATTGTTAATAGTGAGAATTGATCATTAAAGGGCATCTATGATGAAAATCATCTTTTGTCAGCTGTTAGGACAGAACTGTGTGTAGGTATAGTGTGTTCATAGTCATATTGAAGTGATATAAAGACAATAGTCTCTTTTTAAATTTCCTAACTTTAAAATAGGATCTAAATCCCTCTCATTTTGAGGGCCAACTTGACGTAGAAGTGCAGTTTCTCCACACACCGAATTGATTGACAGCCCCAAATTAACATGCCTCCATAGTAACTCATGTAATAATATCAACAAAACAGGACGTGCGCAAACTAACTGGTATTAAAAGATCTGTTGAGCTCGCTGTGATTATCAAGCATTATCAAATGTGATCAAGAATGAGTTTTGCAAGATTAAAACGCTTTTAAAACGGTGCATAATTGTAATGAATTACAGCGATTTTACGCTTATAGAAGAAGATGCTTCAATCCTGTTTGTGGATGTTAAATCAGGTTTATTTTGTACATTAACATAATAATATTCGCTGCTGTATGAATATCCATTGTGTATCCTCTATCCTGTCACATATGCCATGCAAAAACAGTGCAAAGATAAACGCGTGCGCGCTGTGTGTGTGCCTGTGTGAGTGTGTGCGTGAATTTTGTAATGGCTATGGGCTCTATTTTGAAGATCCATGTGCAAAGTGCAGAGCGCAAACGCATTAAGGGCGTGTCAGAATCCACTTTTGCTAATATAAGGACGGAAAAATTCACTGGCGCATGGTTTAAAAGGGTCAAGCTTATTTTCTAATTTAGTTATAGGTGTGCTTTGAGAATAAATCAATCAAAGTCTCATCTCCCATTCCTTTTAAGAGCCAGTTGCGTTGCGTCATAGCGAATTTGATATTTACATGACGGACTTCGTAAGTGAACAAACTGAGCATTTCACTAGCAAGTGAACAGTTAAATGGAGCATCTACAACGCGAGAATGAGAGATGAGCCTCCTCATTATTTAGGCCTACTTTCACTTTTACTCTCATGGATTGGGAAACTTTGTACAGACAGACATCAATTAGTCTACACATAATAAGTTTTTTAAGCGCAAAGATTAGTAAAGCGCAAAGATTAGTTTCAAAACAATTTCTAAATTCAGTTCTAATTGCCAGCAAACAAATAAATGAACAATAATAACGAAGTGTGTTAAAAAAAACTGAGTTGTATCCAAATACACTTGCTATGCCCCATATGGTCTAAAACCTGACAGGGCAAAACAAGCAAATCTAAGCTTGTTTTTAATAAAACAAATATAAATATGGATATAATAAATAATACTGCTAATAATAATATTATACAAAAGCAAATTGTCACGAATAAAATGAAAAAGCCCCCCGAGATGAAGAAGGCATGATAGTATGATTTTGTATTTATTTAGGCTAGAAAATAATGTTTTGTATTATTTAATCCTTTATATTTATATCCTATATATATATATCCTTATTATATCCTATATATCCTTATTTTAATTCTTTTTCAAATGTAAAGATATTTGCGTATTGCTCGACATCTTGTGTGTATTAAGCAGTGTGTAAGCGAGGCGCACTACTAACGCGCTCTGCACTGGATGATAGACCGGCTTTGTTCTGGTCTATAGAACAGACTATTATAGTTTCTCGAAATAGCAACGCGCCTCCTATTTTAGACCAAAACGCCTATGGGCGCACATATGAGCGCAAATGCATTTGCTATTTAAACAGCATGGCGCAAAAAAACAACTCTTGCACCAAGCTGAAACTAGCAAACAACTATTCCGTCGCGCCTTGCGCCACATTGCACCGGGTGTATGATAGGGCCCATTGTGTGTGACTCATCAATCTCGTCGACTCATTAACTAAACAAATACATCCAATAATCATTGGGAAAGTTCTTACTGTAGTATTTCTCACAAACGTTTTGTGAGATCTGCTTCCTTCCTGTCTGTCACTGTGCTGTTTATCTGACACAGCTGAGGCGGAGATTGAGGCACACTCAGACAGACACGTCTGATAAAAGGCAAAGGCGACAAAAACAGCCACATTGTGTTTAGAGCGAAAAAATATAATGTTTTGAAAGCTATACTAAATAATCTGATGGGTGTTTTGAGCTGAAACATTACAGACACATTCTGGAGACACAAGAAACTTATCTTAAATCTTGAAAAAGGGGTAAAGTAGATGCCCTTTAATGTAAAGATTGACCTAGAATTTTTTTTTATTATGTAAAGCTACCGGCTCTAAATGGACTAAACTGTAAATAATTGTTTTTTGCCCTCATTTCCTCCCTCTCATCCTCTATCCATTTCTGCAGACTTTCAGAAGTAACTCGTTTAGAGCTGAGCTTCAACCCCATGACGTACCTCGGAGAGGAGTCTGTGTCGATGCTGAAGCTCACTCACCTCCTCCTGGACCACAACTCCCTGCAGGACTTTTCAAATGCAGCTATTCTTCTGTCTCCCCGTCTCACTCATCTGGACTTGAGCCACAACCAGCTGCGCATCCTGCAGCCAATGGCCCCCGGGTCTCCCAAACTGACCCGGCTCAATCTGGCAGGAAACCCCATCTACTGCAGCTGTTACCTGCGGCCCCTGCGTGAGTGGGCCACACGGGAGCGTGTTCGTCTGGGTGGGACATGTGGAGGCCCAGCGCATCTGTCCGGTGAGAATCTGGAAGTGGTGCAGCCTGTCAATCTGCGCTGTCTGAGTCAAGAGGCCATGCTGAAGGCTGAGCTGGAGGAGCAGGTGCTGCCTGCACTGCCCACAACACCATCGCCAAAGAAAGGCAAATGTCCAGCCAACTGTGCATGTGAGGTGAGGAAAAACACCTGAAAAGTCTTTTCTTTTTCTTTCTGATTAATTAATTATTTTTATTTAAAAAAATACGATTACTTGCCTAGATTGTTTTATGATGGACATGTTTTTAATTTCTGTACAAAATGAATTGGAATATTTTATGACAAGCATAATAACAACGACACAATTTCATACTAAAGGCAAAATAATAAAAATAGGTAGATTGTCAGTAGTGTACATGAATGTTATGTAAATATTTTTATGATTAGGATATAAATCTTATAAAATTATACATATACACACACAGTGGGGATTGAAAGTTTGGGCACCCCATGTAAAGATCTGTATTAATGTGCATAAAGAGGGAAAAATCTCCTAAAGGCATCAAGTTACAGATTAGACATTATTATAATGTAAAAAAAAAAGTTAGATTTCTTTCCAACATTTACACTTTCAAAATAACAGAAAACAAAAAATGGCGTCTGCAAAAAGTTTGGGTGCCCTGCAGTTTTAATATCTTGTACTGCCCCCTTTGGCAAATATCACAGCTTGCTAATGCTTTTTGTAGTCAGCCAAGAGGGTTTTATTTCTTGTTTGAGGTATCTTTGCCCATTTTTTCTTATAAAAGTCTTCCATTTCTTTGAGATTTTTTTTGTCTGTCATGCACTGCTCTTTAAGGTTTATCCATAGATTTTCAACTATGTTGAGGTCAGGAGATTGTGACGGCCATGGCCAAACCTTCAGTTTACGCCTCTTGATGTAATCCACCATAGATTTTGAGGTGTGTTTAGAATCATTATCCATTTGTAGAAGCCATCCTCTCTTTAATTTTAGCTTTTTCACTTATGGCATCAAGTGACCATTCAAAATTTGCTGAAATTTAATTGAATCCATTTTTCCTTCTACTTGTGACATGTTCCCTGTGCCACTGGCTGCAATATGACCCCAGAGCATGATTAATCCACGCCCATGCTCAACAATTGCTCATTCGTACCAAAAGGTTTTATTTTAACCTCATCAGTTCACAAAACTTGTTTCCAAAATGCATTAGGCTTCTCTATGTGTTCATTTTCAAAGTTCAAACGCTATTTTTTATGGTTAAGGACATAGAAGATTTTTTTTTTTTCTGATGACTCTTTTGACTAAAGACCATATTTGAACAAGTATCTCTTTACAGTGGAATAGTGTACCACATCTCCAGTGTCTGCCAGATCTTTCTGGAGGGTTCATGCAGTCAAACGTAGGTTTTAACTTTTAAGTTTTTAGGTTCTAACTTTTCTCACAATCCTGCAAGCGGTTCTGTCTGATGTTTTTCCTGGTCCTTCAGATCTAGCTTTAGCTTCCCCTGTTCCTAATGACTGCCATTTCATAATTACATTCCGAACAGAGGATATTGGCATCTGAAAACGATTTTCTCTCTTCTTATACCTTTCCCCTACTTTGTAAGCATCAACTATTGTCAGTTAAAAGAACGTATGGTGCTGATTGTTAGGGCAAGGCCAGATGAGTCTGGGCATTTAAAACCTTTGAGATTGACATCACCTGGTCTTTCCAGACGATAATTGAGAACAATCCATGACACTGGCTGTTTCTCAATATGCGTTCTTCATCAGTCTTGCGTCCTCGTGTTCTCGTGCAACGTCATCATCAGCAGCCTAAGTTCAGTTCCAATACTCAAGACCGCAAGTACGGAGGACGCGTGAAACTTGCCGAATGTGTTCTTAATATCGAGGACGCACTGATGCAGACTTGAGCACCAAACTCGCTCTGGAAGTCCCAGAAGTCATTGCGACTGGAGGTGGGAAGCGCAGCATTTTATTTAGATTCATTATTAAAGTTCAGAGATGAAACTTATTTACCTCAGGAGTTTCCCTAAATGAAACGGTGAAAGTAAACATCCACATGAATATCTTAATAAAGGAATAAACACATTAAGGGTTGTTTGTTTGCTGAAATTCATATTAAAATCTGTTTTATTTATATTGTGCAACATTTATTTATAATGTTTTTATGCAAAGTATATATTCTAAAAAGGGGAAAAACAATAAATCGTTGTATGAAGGCTGTAATGTTTAAATAATTTACCATTTAAAACGCGTGAAGGTCATGTGACCATCAGGAAGAACGCAGCATCTCAATTCTCAAAGGACGCGTTCTCTGCCCTCGCGGTCTCCTGAGTTCGTTCTTCCGAGGACACCTAGCAAGACCGGTCTCCACAAGAACGCAAGTTCGTTCTCTGCGTTCTTGGAATTGAGAAACACCCACTGTCAGATCCCAGCTTTCCAAAGGGGGCAGTGGATGCTATAAGCTCTGCAGGGTGCCAAAACATTTGCAGATGTAATTTTTTGTTTTGTGTTATTTTGAAAGTGTAAATGATGGAAATAAAATCTAACTTTTTTTTGACATAGTATAAGAATGTCTAATCTGTAATTAGATGCCTTTTGGAGATTTTTCCTTAATAATTCTGCTTTTTGGTTACACTGAACCAGCCACTACTATGTGTATAGCACATTATTTATATATGTATGTATGTTGCCCCTTTAAGTGTTGCACCCTCAACCCCCCAGTGTGTGCGCTGTAGGTGTCTTTCTGCTTGTGTGGGGAGAGGCAGAGAGGAGCATGTGCGCTGCTCTTCCCCTAAAACGTCATGCTTTTACATATTGTTTACTTTTACTTTGTGTTTTGTATTATAATATTTCTTATTCCAAAGGAGGCTAATCATAATGGTTTGAGTCTGGGTCACACTTTACAATAAGGTTTATTAGTTAATGTTAAGTAACCTTATTGTAAAGTGTTTCCTGAGTCTGAATGCCATTTTTGTCTTTAAGCTCTTTTTTTTTACCCATTGGCTGTCCAGTGCAAAGCTGCTCAATTGGCGCCCCAACTGGGACAATTAAGACTCTTTGCACTGGATAGCCAATGGGAAAAAAAGATCTTAAAGACAAGTAATGGTATTCAGAGTCAAACTTTTATGATTAGCCTCCTTCAGCTTTGCTTATATACACCAACAAGGGCTTCGGGGTGGGTAGCGGTGTCGCCTCATAGCAAGAAGATCACTGGTTTGAGAATTGGCTGGGTCAGTTGGCATTTCTGTGTGGAGTTTGCATGTTCTCTCATGTTTGCATGGGTTTTCTCTGGGTCCTCTGGGTTCCCCCACAGTCTAAAGATATGCGCTATAGGTGAACTGGGCAAGCTAAATTGTCCGTAATGTATGTGTGTGAATGCCGGTTTTCCAGTGATGGGTTGCAGTTGGAAGGGCATCCGCTGCTTAAAACATTTACTGCATAAGTTGGTGGTTCATTCCACTGTGGCAACCCCAGATTAATAAAGGGACTAAGCCAAAAAGAAAATGAATAAATGAGTTTTAGTCATTATCTCTCTCTCTCTCTGATATTAAATATTTTGTAAGTATCCACTTTTGACACATTTTATTGGAATCTACCTTGTAAATAAAACTTTTTTTATTCAGCTAAAATGAAGTACTAGAAGTTTTAGAAGTAGCAAAAGACTTAAAACTGAATAAACTCTGCTAAAACTACTTATTCTTATTTAACAAAAATAAATAAAACAATATTAACAAATAACAGCAACAAACTTAATATTAACTCACATGCATCCTGCAGACTGAGAACCGCCATTCATCATGCGAAAATAAAGGCCACACCAAGATCCCTCGTGGATTTTCTCCAGACACACGCCTGCTGGACCTGCGGGGCAACCATTTCCACTACATCCCTGCAAACAGTTTTCCAGGAACAGCTGAAGTAGTTTCCCTTCATCTGCAACGCTGCAAGATTCACGATATAGAAGACGGAGCCTTCAGTGGTATGAAGAGTCTGGTCTACCTCTACCTCTCAGAAAATGACCTTACATCACTAACTCCCGAGGCATTCAAAGGTCTGCCCCATCTCACCTACCTCCATCTGGAGAAGAATCGTTTCACCCAGTTCCCCAAAGGAGCATTTAAGCTGTTGCCTGGCCTGCTGGCTCTGCACATGGAGAATAATGCCATCGCTAAACTGGAAACAGGGCTCCTGACAAGCGCTGAGAAATTGAGGGGTCTCTATCTCACTTCCAATGCCATCACAGCGGCAGCTCCCCAAGCTTTTAATCCTGCACCCGACTTGGAGACTCTTCATTTAGGCAGCAACAAATTGCAGGAGGTTCCAACTGAGGCCTTTTCCAAAGCCAGAAGCCTAGCAGAACTCAAGCTCTCCCATAACCCCATTCGCTGGATTGGAGCTGGAGCCTTTCAGCCAGTTGGCACCACACTTAGACATCTATACCTTGATCATATGGGCTTAGAAAAGGTAAGGACAGTTTCTAAAACTCCAAGAATACCCAAGTGGTGCTCACTGCAGAGCCATTTGGGATAAGCTGAACTCCAGCGAGGGGGAGCTTGAGCTATCGCTTCTCCTTTCTTGCACTTCTTCTACGAGTGATGTCACTGGGGGTAGGGTTAGGGGTGGGGTTGGTGTACGCATTAAAACAGCTTATAGGAGGAGGAGCGAGAGCTCATGCTCCCCCTCGCTGGAGCTCAGCTCTGCTCAAATGGCTCTGCAGCGAGCAGTGTCTCAGAATACCAAACCCCGTTTAAATTTACAGTTTATTTTGTTTTCCTTTAGGTGAACAATTTCTCTGTGTATATTAATTCACTGAAAAACAAATATTTGTTTTAGTAATCTTCAGTCAAAGTCTGACTATTTGCTTCAGCGTTTTTTTTTTTTGACATCAGTTGAAGGCTTTAGCCACCATAATCTTAACCATGCCCCTCGTACTGTTAGTTTGATACATGAAAGCTCCGCCACCCACTCAATGTTCTGTTTCAGTTAGAAGTACATAAACATACTGAAATGAGTGTCTCAGCAATTTCTGCTTCACACAAGCTTTAATGTCTCTTTTATCTCAGTCTCTCTCTTTTTTTTGAAGGTATCTACAGATTTTCTAGCAGGACTGGGGTCTGGTCTGAGGAGTCTGCTTCTTGAAGGGAACCAGCTCGAGGAGCTGCCTGACTTGAGTCCACTCACAGGACTCGAGGTCATAAACTTAGCAGAGAATCCACTGCTCTGCGACTGTCCACTGTTACCTCTTCGCAAGTGAGTTTTGCTCCTTAAGTATATTTTTATTTATTTATTTTATTTCTTTTTTTGGCTTGTTAAAACACGGGTTATGGAATTTCTGGAATATCATGGATTATTTAAAAGGTTCCAGACATTTAAAGTCAAGGAGTTTATATTTTCAGAAAAATATCAGGAATTTTTGTTACTTTACATTTTAGTTCCTGTTAATCAAATTGTCATTTTTCTTCACCCTCATGTTTGATGCCCAGTTTCAAGCAATATTTCAGCTCCATTTTATTTTTTTGATGCTTCTTAATTGACAAAAACTTAAATCAAATCCAGTCACTAGTCTAACATGCCAGAATAATAAAAAATGGCTTCAAAATGACCCCTTTAAAGACTGGATGTTGATATGTTCATTGAGCGGAAGTTCTGTCAGAGGTCAAAGCAGATTTGTTCAAGCTTATAGAAAGGCAACAATAACTCAAATAAACAGACATTACAACTGAGATCTGTAAAATAACATCTTTGAATGCACAACATCTCGAGCTACAGCAGCAGAAGAAGAAGAGCAAACTCCCGGCGCATAAGACCTCCAACTTAGGTTACAACTCGATCTCCCCCAAAAGTAAGACAATATTAGATCAGGAAAACACTGCCTGGTCTGTTATGTCACATTTTCTGCTTCAATATTCTGATGGTAGGTTCAGAATTTGCCAAAAACAATCCATCCAGTTTTCTATTTATAGTTTAGGCTTCTAGTGGTGTAATGATGTGACAGATATTTTCTTGGCAATTCTATATGACCATCTTGTGATGGTTACTTCCTCCAGAATAACAGCCTAAATCACAAGTCAGTTCTAATCCTCTCAAACCTGTTTCATAAACATGATAATGAGGTCATTAAATTCAGATGGCTTCCACAGCCAACTGACCTCAAAAGCATATCTTTGGGATGTGTGCTGGGATGAGATTTTTACACCATCATGCTGACAAATATGTTATTATGTCTGTATGGACCAAAATATCAAATGAATATCTCCAACACCTTGATAAATTGATCAATTAAGGTGGTACTGAAAGCAAATAAAGCCTAACTAAGTAATAAAGTGGCCAGTAAGTGTACATCACAATAGGAAAGCGGTCGGGTTTTCTTCTTTGTAACATGGCTTTTGACCCTTGTCTATTTTCTTCTGCCTCTAGGTGGATTGAGCAGGTGAATTTGAAGGTCAGAGCAACCTGTGGTCACCCACCAGAACTCAGAGGTCAAAGAGTCAAAGATGTCCATGTTTTTAAGAGTTGCCCAGGGGGAAAGTCTCCTTCTGCCCAGCACCCCAAACCGACAAGAGCCCCAAAGCCTGAATCTGCTCGCGTCAGTCCTCCAAAAATCATTAAGAGAGTAGACAGAAAAGCCACAGGAAAATCACGCAAAGGTGCAAAACCTCATACAGTGCAGAAAACCGCCATGAAGAAAAGGAAGTCTGCGTGAATCTGCAGTAATTGGTCAGTTAGCCATTCATATATACACTACCTGACAAAAGTTTTAGGAACAATTAACTTGACATGTAGATGATCATTTAGTATTAGAAGTGGCTTACGTGAAAGACCTCAAGATTATGCTCATTTTACTAATATATATATATATATATATATATATATATATATATATATATATATATATATATATAATTTTACCCCAGACATGCTCAATAAGATTCATATCTGGTGACTAAGCTGGCCAATCCTGGAGCATCTTGACCTTTTTTTTTTTCCTTTCTGGAACTTTTGATGTGGAGGCTATAATATGAAGAGCGCTATACTGCTGATGACTTTGCCTTCTTCTGTGGTTTGTAATGTAATAAGCAGCAAAATTGTCTAGAAACCGTAGGCTGTTAATGTTGTCATCCACTCTGCAGATCTCTCACACGGCCCCAATCTGAAAGTAATCCCAACCCATAATTTTTCCTTCACTAAACTTGACTGATTTCTATGAAAATCTTGGGTCCATGCGAGTTCCAATAGGTCTTCTGCAGTATGTGATGATTGGGATGCAGTTTAGGAGACGATTCATCTTGAAAATCCAACTTCTGCCACTTTTCCAAATGATCAACTAGAAGTCAAGTTATCAGTTGTTGCTCTAACAACTGGTATCGATGACGAGACTTCTGTCAGGTAGTGTAGACAACCCCATCTCATATTATAGAGTTTACCACAGTGAGGGTTCTAGTTCTGTTTACAGTGTTGAAAAACATTTTACAAGTTTTGTATCATAGAATTACTAGAAATATCCAATGAAAGAAAGTCATACAGGTTTGACATGATCTACTGTACATGTTCATGAGCCAGCTAAGAATTTAAAGGTTTATTATAATGTATACAAAAACTCCCAATTTAAATTAGTAACCACCATACAATATGACTGTGTTAAAGCTCTACTTTATAAGCTCCTTTTCGACTGTAAAAATAAAAGTCAGAAAGTGCTTTGACAGACTTTTTAATACAAAACTGAGCAATATGGAGAAAGGAAGAAAAAAAAAACTAATCACGCTGTACAAAATAAATAAACAACATGATAATAACTAGATTTTCTTTTGCACCAAAGTTTGGCTAGTTACATATTACCCGTGTTGTATAAAAACTTTAGTTAAAAGGTTAGTTCACCTGAAAATGAACATACAGAATTTCTGTCAAGTTGTTCACCCTTGTCACTAAACTCACAAGCAATTCTCACAAATGAACATATCGTAATGAAATCTGACAGATTTTGATCCCTCTGTTGAAAGTAAGTTCACCCAAACCGTTGATGCATCATCGAGATATTGAATGAGGTTCATTCCAAATCATCGCAGAAGGCATCATTGCTTTTATTTACACACAAACATTGATTCCGATATCTTTGTATTCAAAAGATGAACTCAATAGGTAAAAAGGACACAAGGCTGAGTAAATGGGGTAAACTAACAGCTTATTACGGTATCTAGGAGTGTTTAATGTTAATATTAGTTAAACGGATAATCTGCTTCATAATATCACCTTCGATATTAGTAGATAGTAGTAATTTGTTTAAAACATTTATACGATCAGGTGCTGATTTAAACGTCATCATCCTCATCTTCCTCCTCATCCTCATCATCATCCTTCTCCCGTTTGAATGTTGTCAAGGCTCCCTGGTGGCTTTCTTTGGATTGTGCGCTAGATAATATGGGGGTTTCCAATTCCTCCACCTTTACTCTTACTGCAATAACTGTAGTTTAGAGTCAAGAAAAACACGTCAGAAAACGGAGATATAAAGGGGGCAATGGAATTGAATGAACTGCTACATACCTTCTTCCTCGGGTTCAGTCTTTATTTGTAAAGTGGAGGGTTTATCAGACGCGTTTGCTGCCTCTTGTGATTGAATCATCTCTGTATTCTCATTGGTCTGTGTTTTCAAGTTTATTTTAGCATTTTTCCTTAGAAATCTTCTCTCTGATGAGGAAAAAACAACTATAAGCACTATAACTTATTAGTAATTTCATTAATGTAATAATCAGTTACAGCTGCTTCAAAACAAATATTAACAAACAAACATCAAGAAAAATGAAACTTACTCCTTTTCCCCTTAAAAGGTTTTGCTTTTTTGCTTGCATGGGAGTGTTCCTGACCTTGAGGTGGTTCTACAAAGAGCAGAATGCAACATGAACAACCAAATTTTGGAGTGCATATACGAAAAAAAAAAGGCATTGTATCTACCTGGACCAATGGGTGGCTGCAGCTGGTAACCAGTGATTTCACACCAGCCCACAGGATAAATTTCAGGGGACTGACAGTCTACCCACTGATCAAACTCAGGCTCCCAGCCATCGAAATGTAGGAGGAGAAGCCGACCCACACAGCGCCTGACAGTGGCCACACACACCAGCCTGGGCTCCATGAGGTCCACTGCCTCCAGCTTCATACCTGAGGTAAAGCCGTGGCCTACATCATCCTGACAAAAACAAAATAGATCTGACAAGATGAGCTTAAATGCATTTAAAAAAACAGGCTTGATTTCTACCAGAGTTAACGTGCATTTTAAGTAACTTGGTCATCTGAGACATTAGCATGTTAACCTGGTATTAAAGATGCCATAGAATGGATTTATACAATACATTATTCTGAATAGTAGGCAAGTAGCTTGTGCTTTTACAGATCCTTTATCCTCCCAGGAATTTATAGAGTAGAAATCTTGATGGCTCTGTGGGTTTCATCTTTCCAAACTGATTTTTATTTTGTATTTTATATTAGATTCGGGTTAGGTGATTGGCAAGGCCATTCTACAGCTTGATTTTCTTTCTCTGAAACCATTTAAGTTTCCTTAGCTGTGTTTTTGGAACATTGTCTAGCTGAAATGTCCACCCATGTTTCATCTTCATCATCCTGATAATATAGATAATGAACTAAAGCATTTATTGTTAATTTACTGTGAGAAAGGGCAGATTGTTGCTAAAGAACAACTGAGAGATTTCAGCTGCTGTCTGGGCTTTCACTGTCTTTTTACACCTGTTATTTTATTACAAATATCTAATTAGTTTACAAATTAATTATTTTCTTTCTTTTCTTTTATATACACATTTTCTTTTTATGTTTATGATTTATTGAACATTTTTCCATTTTACAAACATATCAAACTACACTTACAGAAATAATAATAGAAAAAAAATAACTTTATATATATATACACACACACACACACACACACACACACACACACACACACACACACACACAAATAATAAAAAATTAAAGTAAATAAATAAATAAAGATAATAATTAAATAAAACCAAATTATACAAATAATACAAGGCAGATGTCCACATTTATACAATAATCTCAATGTTACATTTCGAGAAATGAAAGATTACAAACCGATGTATTATTATTGTCAAGAGCTGGGGTAATCAATCTAGATCCAGCTGGAGAGTTTTAACATAAGAAGAAAGGGGATCCCAAATTTTGACAAATGTTCTGTTAGGTCTTTGAAGGGAGTATCTAATCTCCAGTTGTACAAAATACAAAACATCTTTCAGCCACTGTACATGCGAGGGTGGCTGAGGGATCTTCCAGTTTAACAAAATTACACGCCTAGCAAGCAAAGTAAGAAAGGCCACAAAGTTTTAAACGTAAGTGGGTAATGCATAATTATCAGGCGTCATGCCAAACAGGCCAGTAATGGGTAATGGTGCTATATGTATAGATGTAATGGCTGAAAGAGACTGAAATACTGAGCCCCAAAATGAGGAAAGGGCTGGGCATGTCCAAAACATATGGGTTAAAGTACCTAAACCCGAATGACACCTTTCACACTCTGGATAAATAGTTGGGTCGATACGTGCGAGCCTACATTTCGAACAGTGTACTCTGTGAACCACTTTACACTGAATGAGGCAGTGACGTGCGCATACAGATGAGGAATAAGCCCTGTCCAGAGCTGCCTCCTATGTATCTTGGTCTATTACAAAATTAAGGTCCGCAGACCAACTGGTGCGGAGACTGTCACCTGGAAAAGACTGTAAATTGGAGAAGTATGTTTCCTGAGAAAAATGGTGACATGTTGAATACTCGTATGCTTGTTGCCTCATTACAAACATTTGTGGCAAATTTCACAATTTACACGTTAAACTTGAAAAAAAGAAAACACTACATATTAATAGACCTTATGCCTTTTTAGGGTGGCACTGATTAAATTTACAATCTGTATATCCCTCATTTTGCATTTAAAAATCTCATTTACTCCTGCTTTAGTTTTAGTCTCACATACATAGTAAGTTTATGTACATGTTTAAAATGATGTACAAGTTTCAAACTTCAAAATGAGGGGGAAAAAACGATCATTGTTGTAATCTCACAATAAAACATTGTGCCTAATCAAACACAGCCTGGGGAGACCATATTATTGATCCTGTGTGGATAGCAGAGTTGGTGTTTTGTTCATATTTGCCTGTATTCACACTGAAGATTTACATGAGAATGAGGAAACAATAGCATTTGAGGCTCAGGGTGTGGCCATTTCCATGTACTGAACATTTAACATTCAGCTATGTCTAGGTATATCCAGATTTTTATTGTATGGCACCTTTAACATACATTCTGATTATTTATTGAGTACAGAATTTTAAAAATTACCTTTCGCTCTTATTTTATCAAATCTATATCTATTTTTTATATCTTAAAGTCATCCATGTTTAATCAGATTGTCAAAAATGCATCTTAATATCAGTTATGCAAAAGGTCCACATATGCCTCAACTACATCACAGATATCAAAAAACATTTACCGTGTTGAAAAGTCTTTGGGGAGCAGCTACAGCTCCAGTTTCTTCTAAATACACTGGCCATGTGAAAGTGGCTTGATCATAACCTAATAAAAAGGAGGCAATGTTTATGAACATGAAATAGCAAATGTTTTAAATATTGAATACAAAATGTTGAATAAGTTGAGGACATTACCAGGAGGTACAGTAAGAGGTATGTCGTTGTTCTCGCAATATCCGACAGGTAAAATGGCATGCGAGCTGGCATGATAGCAAAACCAGTCAGAACCATCACCAATCTCGACACCATCAATGCCTACCATGATGTATCCATCCAACAACACCTGAGTGGTTGGTCAGGTCAGTGTAATGCTTCATCAAGATAATGTGTATTTCAATATTACAGTCATAAATATTGGTGGAGTTGTACCTTACGAACTGATGCAACACAGATGTTTCCAAGGTTCAGAGGATCAATTGCTTCAATTTTCATGCCTTCCTTAAAAAATGTGGCTCCCATGTAAACGGTCCTCAACTGTTTGTGTTGAAAAAAAAAAAGGAATGATACATAGTAAAGATTAAATGACACAAGATTTTGAAACATTAACAAAACAACCATATTCTGGTTAGATAGTTCAGTTACGTTACATGCTTTTAGCCAAATAGTCTGTTCCTTTGCATGACAACTGTGTTTGTGGGACTGAAAACTCTTAATCTAAAAATGAATTGCAAAGTGGAAGTTTTTTAAAAAAATACCATGATTGTGATGTCTGTGTAAACACCATAACATGAGTGTCTATGAAAATGACGACATCATTTGTGTGCATGGTACATGCTCAGGGGAGTAGATTAAAGACAAATGTGAACAAACATAAAATAACAGAGAATGTGGTCGTGTTGTTCTTGCTAAAGTGTTGATTTACTTCACATTACAACCAAAAACTGAGACGTATCATACACAAATGGTAAATTCTACATGCACTCTAGTGCTAAGCTGCTGATGGCAGATCATCACTTCCTTGTTCTGTTTATTAACTAAGTGAAAGCTCCAAATACATAAATAACATGGTGTTTCTGGCAGTTTTCATAAACGTGTTTAAATGCAGATTTCATGTCATGTAAATGTAAAACATTTTTAAAAGACAAAAGAAAAACTTTAATTTTGACAGCATTGTTGTGTAAATGTAACCTCAGATGTTTTTTTTTCCAACCCTGTATGGGATTCTTTATCTTGTTAAACACAAAACAGGAGATTTTAAAGAATGATAGTAAACAGACAATTTATAACAGCTATTGACTTCTTCTATATTACACTATGGAAACAAACGGTTAGTGTAACATCTCTTTTTCATTGTTAACAAATGGAGGGTCAATAAATGATAACAAAAATCCATTTTTAATGAACCATTTCTTTAAAAGGTGTATCCACAGACCTTCTTGAATTGATCTGGAACACTGTTTTGATGAACTCTTCGAAATGCTGGATGGCTTCCCATGTTGACATTTGTATCTGCATCAAAAAAGCAGTTATGATATTAGCTATAATTAACATGAACTAAAAATAAGTGAAAAATATCAAGGAAAAACTGTAACTTTGACTAGGATATCAATGAATGTTAAAAAATAACTAAACAAATAATAAATAAATCTAACCTTTGTGTGTTGTTTTTCCTACAAAGCCATGAATATGACATGGTGGCTATGAATTAAGAATATGTCCCAATACTACTACATTTTTGGCCACAAATCCCCAACTATAATAGCATTAGTATTAACAGTTAAATCTTGCATTAGGTAACTGTATTTCTTAAACAATACACAGAATTTAATCCATGTTAGTTTCAACATTTACTTACATGTTTTTAAAATGCGAAGGTAATGGACTGCATTATAACGTTATTGCTCAGTTTTAGCTCATATGCTTTATCTACGGCTAACAATTCAAACCAAAGTGAAGCGTTACCAAGATACCAAAATACAACAGTGACATGCAGCCCTTCATATCTTTCAAAGACTTTCTCCATGTGTTATGAGGGTAAATATAAGACTTGAAGAACTTTCTAAGACTGAATAAAGAAACTGTCTATGAAGTATAAAGAGAATAATTTATATCAGAATGTCAAAGTAAAAAAACATTGCATTCAATTCTTCTAATTCAACAGCTTGAGTTTGGAAATAACTAACTAATCAGACCAATTGTAGATCTATATACCATACCTCTATGGCAGTGCTGTCAACAGTTGCTACAAAATATTCTTCATGTGCTTCCTAGATATTATTAAACATTAGATGTTATTACTTTTTTAGTATTTAAAAAAAGTTCACATATATAATATATTTATTGCCATAAATAGTTGATACTTGGCCACACAATTGTTTTATCAGTTCAAAAGTTTTACAGTTAGGAAGTCACCTAAACTATTTTGAAATAAACAGGTTTGATCTTGCAAAACTGCCTTATAGTGATATTAAATAAGTACAATAAAAAAAATCCAACACATCTGATTTTCATCACTCTGTTTCTTCAAAACTGAATTCAATAGTTATCCTCTTGCATATTGGTTTAGGTTCCCTGACATAGAACCACACAATATTCTTGTATTATATACAAAGTGCATCCAACAGACATTAGAAATGGGAAAATCTATAATTAGAAGCTAAAAATCTATTCTCTAAATACTATTGTGAAGGAGGTCCTGGAGCAGTAATGCAGCTCATTCTCAAAAATGGCGAACATTGAATATATTAATGATGTGCTTCACTTTAAAATGAACAAACAATTCCTCACAGGTAAAACAATAATTAATGCTATTATATGTATTAAGACTTGCTGCTCTGACTTAAGACCTTTTTAAGGCCTTTATTCGTGTAAATGTGATACCAGACTTTTTTTAAACTTTAAGATAAAAATGTTAAATATTCTTATTTATGACTAAACCCATAAATGCCTAATTTCCTCTCACCTGTTTCTTTGATGGAGTGGTCCACCGTCTCAGACCAGCCTACATGGTGCACGAGAGGACTCTGCATGTGACACCAGAAATCTGAAAGCACCTCCCCAGACGGTCCCAGACCGGCATCTTCATACAGCAGCCTGAGTCGACCTCCAATCACAGTGTCTACCACTGCTAGACGGGTACGGCTGACCTGCGAGCGATCCACCACCTCCACCCGAACACCCTGCCTGAAAGGACACCTCAAGCTGTCTGCCATCTAAAACGCACAGGAGCACAGTTAATATAAGAAAAACGAATGCCATTAATATATCCTCATTTGCCTTTGCTCTTAACCTTGACATGAAAGTCAACAGGAATTGTGTGTGCTCCAACTAGTCTCTCCATCAAGTAGGATTTCCAGTCTTGCTGGTGGACTTCTTTAGGGGAGAAACAAACAAAAAGAGTCAAGATTTTGCATTTTTAAAGCAGATATTCAGCTGAACATCTTCGTGACATAGAAATAAACGAAACCTTGAGGGGGGACCAGAGGCTTGTTATTTACTGCACACCAGCCAATAGGATGAACATCAGCTGTGCCTAAATTGCACCACAGGTCATGGCGGTCATCATCCTCAAAACCTTCATAGCGTAAAAGAGCTTTATAGCCTGAGAGAAACACATCACGTAACACAATTAAACAAATCAAGTCTGTTTATTAAGCAAATTATCTTAATATCAAACAAAACTATTATTCCATTGTGTTAAATCAAATTAAATTCAGATCATACAGCATCTTGATGGGGTAAATAGTATCGTATCTGCTTCATATGCATATCTGATGAATCGCATCATTGGCTCTCACATGGCTAAAAAAATACCCTACTAGTTAAACATTTTAGGTCACTGCTTTTCACATCAATAGGACATCATAGGATCAAAGTATTTCTTACTCAAAAAATTGTTGTTCCTTTCTAACGTTCTTAAAATTGAAAATTCATTTAAAATAAAGGATCTTGGTTTCCACAATAACAAAAGTTTTTCTTGTACAGCTAAAATTATCAGCGCCCTTCTAGAATCACTCTCACTGTGGGTGCTTTTCCAACTGTCACAGCATTAAAAATACAGATGCTCAACGCGTGATGCCTTGCTTCAGACAACAGAAAAAAAAATACCATTCAGCTTAGGAAAATCCAATTCAGTGGACACACAGTTGTTTTAAAATAATAAAAATAAAAAATATCTTGAGCAGCAAATTTACATATTATAATGATTTTTGACTATGATTCTAATAAACAAATAAAAATATTTATTTTGAATTGTTATACTATTTAATACAATTACCACTACATATTTTTGATCAAATAATTACAATTTTGGACATAAGCTGGGGTTCTCAACCAGTGATCCTCCAGTTGGCCCGCAAAATAGCTTCAATTTGATGAAAATTTCCTATAATTGTTTACATTTCATCACTAGTGTGTTATATTAAAATTATTTTAAACATTCCTCTTGTTTTTTCACTGATTGCTTTAGACTCTTAAATACAAACTTAAAGAAGCAGTAGGTGATCTGCCTAAATGCTTTCCGTTAGCTAAATATCTTTGAAACTCTGTCCCTCCCCTGCTGTCCATAGCCACGCCTCCTGAAATCATGAATGTCCAACTCCCAACCGCTGCATGCCAAATAAGCTAGGCCTGAATCTCTCAGCTGCATAAAGCAACGCGTGTTTTGCACCTAAAAACCCTGTATCACACAAACCCATTACTGATTCACAAATTATGCATGCTCTTTGAATTTCTGCATAAACATTTATTTATTTATTTATCAACTTATCTAATATTAATTAGAAATCATCTTTTAATAACAAGCAGTAGAGGAATAGGAAAACAAATGCTTTTGTGAAAGCTTTTAAAAACCCATTTCTTTGCATTTGATGAGCATGAAAGACTTTCTAAATCAATAAATAAAATATCAAATCCTTTTAAATACTACAGAGTAAAAACTCTTTTTTAATTTTTGTCTTGCTGTATTAAGCAGTGCTGAAAAAAACACTGCATTAGAATTTATTACAGAAACAGAGAGTTTATTCAGCAGTGATGCAGGAAAGTTGATATACCTGCAAGCTGTACAACAGTGGCAATCCAGTACACCTTACTGGGCAAGGCTGTGTGAGTGTTCAGGACCTCCACTTTCAACCCCACATAGACGTCTTCCCACTGAGCGCAGAGTGGTACCTGTTAGACCATTATAACGCAACAGTATCAGTAATGTAAATATGTACACATATCGTTTCTAAACCAATATTTTCCCAGTACAGTTTCACAAAGAGAAGCAGAAGCACAGAAATCACTCACGTGTCTGAAGCAAGAAACGGGGGCAGCAAGGAGACCGCTCTTCTCAAGGTAACTTCCCCAATCGAATCCAGCTAGAGTAGCTTGAAGACAATTTAAGCATTCATTCAGTAAAAAGAACATTAGTGAAGCTCACTACACTAAAAATTGAGAGAAATCTCACCATCTTGTACAAATGGTCTGCTTTCCTGATGCTGCTCAATGACCTTTGGCCTCAGAACTTCAGTCTGTGTTTTCGGACACAGTTTGTGTGATGACTTCTTTGATGGCCTTCCCTGAGTACAAAGGCCCAAAAGAATTAAATACGTTTTGAAAATGTCAGTTTGAACAAACAAAGAAACCTAGATATGTGCAGTGGTGGACATCAAGTACAACCTTTTAAGCAAGTTCTATTGGAGCCTTTTCATTTTAGGAAACATTTACTTTTCCCTTGTTTGTTTGTGATTAACGACATACCAGGTTCTATGACTATTTTATAACGCAAAAATGTATACAGCATTTGTCACATTTATTTTTTGCGAAAAACTGTATCAACTATATTTGGTTGTTTTAACTGTTCAAATTCTCTTCAAAAGAATTCCTCCTTACAAAATTACAGCAGACAATCTAACAGAACATGCATTATTGATTAAAGGGCACCTATGATGAAAATCATCTTTTGTAAGCTGTTGGGACAAAACTGTGTAGGTATAGTGTGTCCACAATCATATTGGAGTGAAAAAACACAAGTCGTCTCTTTTTTTAACATGTCCTGATGTTAATCCGAATTTCTTTTATTTTGAAGCTGACTGCAACGTGATGTAGGAGTTTCCCCACTCACCAAATTGATTAACAGCCGCGTATTAACATGTCTGCATAGTAATGCATATAATCATATCTATAAGACTGGACGTGTGCAAAGCAACTGGTATTAAAAGATCTGTTGAGCTCGCTGTGATCATCAATCATCATCAAATGTGATCAAGAATAAGTTTTACAAGTTTAAAACGTTTTTAAAACAGTGCATGTTTATAATAAATTTAGTAAAATCGCTACCTAATTCATCACCACAGCCGCATATCAGTACAATAATGAAAGAAGACACTTTTGCGGAGGTTAAATCAGGTTTATTTTGTACATTAACATAACGGATGTCCACACAGCAGTGGAGATTAACGTGTATCCTGTCACATTTGTGTGCAAAAAAAAGTCATGTGCGCTGTGTGTGGATAACTTTTGTAATGACATTTTGTGTGACAATCAAAAGGCTAGAATTAACTCTGCAACAAATTAGAGCTGCACGATTCTGGCTAAAATGAGAATCGCGTTATTTTTTTTGCTTAAAATAAAGATCACGATTCTCTCACAATTCTGTAGATATAGAATTATTATTTTTTTCTTAAACATATGGTAAAACAACAATAATAATATTATGTGTGGGTCTACTGGCTTCTATAAATAATTCTGTTCTACTTATAATAATTCTGATATTTATTTATTATGTTGCAAGCATATATGCTTGCAATCTGTCGTTTATAGCATTAAAAGTATATTTTATTCACTGGTAAAATCATTTGTCATTATCAGATTATATTCAACAATATATAGAGTAGTTACACTGACACTGTAAACATTTATTTTCATGCACAACTCTGTTCGCTATGAAAAAAAAAAAACATATCAAATGTTTGTCATAATCATAATTCTAAACTGCGATATGATCATTTAAATAACGTGCACACTTTCGGTTTCATTTTGACTGCTAAGTGCTGTTCATACTTTACACGCGGCTCCCAAACGATCACTCTGTGCCACAAACTGATTATTATTTACAACTGTATTATCTGTTATTCGCAGCCTGCGCAGGTTCTGTTCACTAAAGTAGACACACGCGCCTATCAAGTAGCGCGCGCACCCGCCCTCTCGGTCAGCAGCTCACGTCACGTGTGATTTCACCGCCGCAAATACATCATTATATGAAGACAGAAATGACATTTTGGGGGTGAATTATACCTTATAAACACAGTATGTGACTCTTTTTCAACATCATTTGGAGGGATCCATGTCGCTGAGCAACGTATGTGAAGCAATGAAAAGACTCGTGCAGGTGCCTTTTCCTCTCCTGAACTTGAAAATATGATTGGAGAAATCGTAGAAATACAAAATTAAGATCGTCCAGGGGGTCGAATCGAGATTGCGATTTTTTTACGATTAATTGTGCAGCTCTACAACAAATACATCAAAATAATCATTGGGAAATTTCTTACTGTCTGTTTTCACAAACAATACATGAGATCTGCTTCCTTCATGTCTGTCAATGTGCAGTTTATTTGACGCTGCCGAGGCGATTGAAACACACTCTGACAGGCACATAGGAATGGTGGGCAGAAAGAAATAGCCTTAAAGGCATAAGCCACAAAAACAGCTACATTGTGTTTAAAGCAGAAGATTCCAACATTCTGAAAGGTATAATGAATAATCTGATGGGTGTTTGGAGCAGAAACTTCACAGACACATTCTGGAGACTCGAGTCTCATCTTAAATCTTGAAAAGGTGTTAAATAGGTGTCCTTTAAGTGCTTTTACAAAGTAAATAGCAGGAGGATTTTCTTCTAGTGAAACTTTTACTTTTCTACACTCCAAAACTGTTGTAATTATTTTACTTAACTAATGATCAATTTTGTCAGATAACCTGTTAAATCGATTCACAAATCGCAAATTTATTGCTCTGTAAAAAAGCATTCGGCGATAAGTACTTTTAATATTTAAAGGGACAGTTCACCTAAAAATGTTATTTCACTTGGTTCCTAACCTCTATGGGTTTCTTCTTTCTTCTGTTGAACACAATAGTATATATTTTGAAGAAAGCTTAAAACCTGTAATTATTGACTTCCATACCAGGACAAACAAATACTATGGATGTCAATGGTTACAGAGATCTAAAAAATGCTTCAAAAATATTTATTTTTTTATGTTTAACAGAAAAAGAAGCTAAAAAAGGTTTGAAACCAATTGAGGGTGAGTAAATGATGACAATTTTCATTTTTGGGTGAACCATCCCAGTCCTAAGTGCACTGACATATATAATATGTAGTTTTTTTTCTCAGCCTACATTAAAAATCTAATCATTTTGTTCTCTGACTTAAATTTGTATTGCAGCACATTAAATTCTGACTAGAGGAATATTTTATAAGGGTTGCTGTACTGTGACTTAAGCTTCTGATTTCTGATTTGTGTAAAGCATTCGCCACTGCATACATGTGAAGTAAACATATCATGCCAGATAATCCCACCTGGAGGCGTGCAAGAATTGAGGATTTTTTAGAGTTGGATGAATATGAACGTGAGCAGGAAGCACTGCAGAAGCGCTTGGTCCTTGAGAAGAAGGTGTCTATGCTGCCAACGGCTCCACACATTTCACATGCTACTGCAGAAACATCAAGATATAAGCCGTTTATATGCATTTATATATACACTTGTACCTGAAATAAACTAAAATAAAGGGTTCCTATGTTCACCTATTCCATCATCAACCCAGGAAGAAGGTTTTACAGGTCCGTTATCTCCATCATCACTGAAATTGTGCTGGTTGTAGTTTTCCCCATCATTTTGAGTGACGTCCATAAATGTCATTTCCTGCTCATCCTTTAGAAAGAAAAGTAAATACTATATTACTTAAAACATACTAAAACAACGATTGGTATGGGCACACTACAAAAACCATAATACGCTGATTTGGTGTTCAGGAAACATTTGATATTATCACAAGTATTAATAAAATTATAATAATACAAAAAAAAATGCTGCTTTGCTTCATTATGTGTTGGGTTTCACTGTGGGTGTTTTTTTACACTGGAAATACCTGTAATAGTACCTTACTGTACAAGTAGCCTAAATTCGCTCATTGGAAAAAACCTCACTCCTACGTCACGTTGCAGTAATCCTCAAAATGGGAGTGATTTGGGTCCTATTTTAACATCAGGAATTAAAAAAAAAAAAAGACTTATTGTGTTTCTATCACTCCAATATGACTATACAGGTGCCCTTTTAATTAATTTAGGCATTCATTTTATTTTTTACTTATAGCATTCCTTTTAGTATATTATATTACATATTAGCATAAACATGATATTGCAGAATGGAGAATGCAAATTCTCTTAATAAATATTTTTTTCATCCTGCATTTTTTTTCGTTTACACATGTACATTTACTAAAAATCTACAAACTGAAAATGACTGACAAAACTTTTATCATAAAAGCCTTTGTGCAAAAACTTTGAGAACTACTGCCATATGTCTAAATGCTTATGTTAACTAATTTGGTTGTTGGCAAATGTTTAAACAAAAAGTACCTACAGTGCAGTTTTTTTACATGCTTAACGTTACGTAAAGCCGCACTACTGACGTCACAAACACGCGTCCTGCCGGCGGCTGCCGAACCTGATGATAAACGAGCTGCGTGCACCGAAGGAATCGCTCCAGCTTTAAAGAGCCCATATTATGGGTTTTTGAAAATTCACCTCCATGTAGTGTGTAACACAGCTCTAAGTGAAGTGAAGTATCCAGCTAAGGCTTAAATCTGTTAGTGTACAGCGTTTAAAAAGGTTGATTCATCTATAAAAGAGTCGACTCATAGTGCTTCAAACGAGTCGCCTTGATACCGACTCATTAGGTGTTTCGCCATGACGTACGAATGAAACCAAGTTATTCACGTGCACGCGCAAAACCCGGGAGATTTCAAACCTGAGGCCCCGCCCTCTGACGCAGAAACCCAGACACACACACACACACACACACACACACACACAGGTAGGTTCATGAAAAAATGAAGCCAGGGTAAGGTATATAGTAATACATCCTTATATATACACACGTGTGTGTGTGTGTGTGTGTGTGTGTGTGTGTGTGTGTGTGTGTGTGTGTGTGTGTGTGTGTATATTAGGGATGTCCCGATCCGATATTGATATCGGAAATTCGTCTGATATCAGTCCCAGTGTGAAAGCTATTTTTCAGCTCAAACGGATCAAAAAATTATCAAAAAGCTGTGTATGAAATTTAAATTTTGGACACTGAACCTTTAGCAGTTGTTCAATTAACAATATTTTCTTTCTTATGTTCCTGCTCTCAGCAGTTTCTACTCTTTGCTGATGGCTAGCACACAGCATCTTCTTATCATATTTCATTTATATCATTTGCTGATTTTATTCCACAAAACTAGCAAAAGCCTAGTATTCAGTGCGAGTTGGTGCTACTTTGCCTTTTGGTCATTGTAGTGAGTGACTATCAATAGATAGATATCTAGTGTATATCCATGGACCCCTACGATCGGCAGGCCAGTTAATGTTGGAGGTCCCCAGATCCAAGTGGCTGCTTAGGGCCCATCTGCCACTAGGGGGCCCCCACAAGCCGTTAGTGGTGTGAGCTGTTTCATTGCTGAAATAGTTTATATTTGCATTCTACAAATTATCTTTATTGACAGTGTTTTAGTACCTAAATATTTATAAATTTTAATTGAAAAGAAAAAAAAAATCATGATTTAAAAAATTGTTTTCAGGTCAGGTGATCAACAGGAAGCTCGAATCCCATAATCTAATTTCTCACATAGGTTCTGTGTTCTCGCAACTCAAGTTTGCTCTTTTAAGGTAACCTGCAGGAACAGTCACCACAAAAGCGCAAATCCATGCACAGACACAGCCATGGCCTTTGCTTTATTGCCTGCCCCATTATATACCTGATTTATTTTAAGAAATTGGACCGCAAAAATGAAACAAATCTAACGTTATTTGTCAGGTGTAAAATAACGGAGGGGAAAAACAACAATAAAAGACCTAGGGTGCGTCTGAAACCGCATATTTCCATACTAAAATCAGTATGTGAGGCGAGTAGTATGTCCAAATTCATAGAATTCGAAAATAAGCATGCAAGAACTACCTACATGCCCTGTAACTTTCGGCGAGATTTTGAAGTGCGCATCCCATGCATGCTGTGCTATCCCATGCCTCACGCCTCCTTTTGAGGGACGCTACCAGCTGTTAGATTGCAGTACATGGTTTATGGTTATGGCTGCAGTACAAGTCATAAAGCCCACGTCCCATATGTTAACCAACGAGACTTGAGTATCACACTTAAAATGTCCTGAAAGATGGTTTTGGTCAACTAAGGCACTGGTTGTCACGCTGATATAAGTTCAGATCTTGATTTTTACAAACAGTATGTTTTTAGCTTCTAATTTAATGCTATAAAAATTAGATTTATTATCCAGCCTGTTATTGTGCAGATACGGGTGGACTAATCAAAAGTTTGAGGGGAGTGGTTGATTTGACGTAACACTAAAAGTAGTTGGTTGGTAGCTTGACTCTGCCTCTGGCTCCCCCATGCAGTCATTCTGTGCATGCCCAGGCTCCAATTTCAGCAGTTTTTGCAACAGTTTGTGCTAGTCATGAGATGTTTTACATTCAAAGCGTTCAATGCAAAAAAAAAAAAAAAAAAAAAAAAAAAAGGTGCTGCTACATTGTCCATATTTTTACAGTCATTAGAAAAGACAAGCACAAAATTATTTTAGCATCATTTTTAAGTGCTGATGATGATGTTAAAGACATAATCTAGTAGTATAGAAAATAGTCATTTACAGATCAATAAATTTTGTTTACTTACATGAAATATTTTAGACTTTGTTTTACACACCCAGTTTTTTATACTTATTCTAAAATGTATTTTACTGAAGTACTGACATATTTTTAACATTAGTAATATTTTTTCAGAAACATGTTTCTAAATGTAATGTCCTAATTTAATTAATCTTAGTTTAATATAAGCTCTGTACCTTGCATTTAAAAAATTTAATTTTATAAGAAACTAATTCTAATATATATCAATAAATATATAAATACACTCAATGTAAGGAACATGGAAGGTGACTGAAGGGAATAATAAAGTTGATGTTTGGGTTTTAACATAAAATCAGTATTTGTTGCTTCCTTTTTTCTTATGTTTTTATATTCATATTTTTTCTATTATTTTTATATTTATTTAATATTATTTTAGATTTTATTACTTATGGATCGATCTTTGCATTCATGTTGATTGTTTTGTTGTTTTTTTCTTTTTGAGTTTTTAATGAGTTTAGAATACATATTTTATTACCAAGTAATGCATTTTCACTTTTAGCCAATTATTGTTCAGTATCGTTTTATAGCAGAGTTTTTGTTTTTGGGATTTCCAAAGTTAAAATATATAAATAAATAACTCAACCTAGAATCTTTAATAAAGTCTTTAATCTGTTTGCTAAATTAATAGAACTAGTTTTAAACACTCCAGAAAGACGCAAAGTAGAAATCACTGGTCCCTTTATCATAGATTGTTTAATTCTTCATTTAGGAAGCTGGTAATTGACAAAAACTGTTCTGTTTTAATATGTACAAATCATTCAGACATTTATTAAGTAGAAGAAATCAGGCTTTACTTTTTTGTTTTATTGATAGCATTTAACACAATTATTTAGAGCAAGATATGGCCCCAAAATTATTCTGCTTAGGGCCCCCAATTGTACAGAGTAGGCAGTGATCGGGTTGCGATCCAAAACTGTGGAATACCCCTCCTTTAGAACTTCGCATCATCATAACTGTGGCAAAACTTTAAACATTATTTTGACCTACTTATATAAATAAATATTATTTATATAAACATAAAGTTGATAGATACTCCTAAATAACTTTATATCTAATTGTTTTAGCTGGTGTTGGTCCTATTGCATCATTTTCTATCACTATTATTCAAAACTTGGTAGTATAAAATGTTAATTAAGTACAATAACTGACCACCAGTGCAACATATCATTACAAATTCAAGGATCATCACTCATAAGACTTTCAAATTTTTGCCAGAACGGGTCTAGTATGAAAGAAGATACTCACTGGTGCAAACTGTTGCGGTTGAGTAAGGGCTTCTTGCTTCTTCTTTATACAAAAGGAGCAGGAGACACCTTTCCCTCCACACTTACGGCACCGTCTTCGGATGAAAACTGTCGGGACAGCTCCATCTTTCAGCTTCAGCCTTTTGAATCCCGACGCCTTGGCAGTGACATAAGTCTTGGGTTCAAAGCAGTCTTTTGTGAAGTGCTCATTGCATAAATGGGAGTAGGTATTGGCGAGCCAGTTCCTGCGGGTTTTCTGGACCTGTCTCTGCCATTTGCTGAACTCTTCAGGGTCTTTGGGGAATCTGAACATCGACACATTCTGCCCGCTGATCTTTCCACAGCCATAAGCAACGCATTTGTAAGGCATTTATAATGTTTTCCAGGGTGTTCTGAGAGGTATTGTGCAGCTGGCTCCAAATATTGACTGTGAATTGTTTACAAAAAGCACTTAGCATTTCCACATTGCAGACACCAAGTTAGCACTGATTCAGTGGAGCAAAAACATAAACAAGAACATTGAACAAACACGCTTTGGATAACATTAGACAACCTTTACCATTTGTAATCTACGACATAGAAACATCAAACAGTCAAAGCAATTGGATGAACACTGTTGTGAGTAAAAGATAATTCCACAATAAAACATTTCTTACCTGCTTTACCCTTTTTGAAAATCCGGTGTTACGGTTTAACTGGTGACCGTGTTAACTGGTGTCCCTTTCCAGATGTAAGCTATTCACGTTTGCAGATTGGCAGATTCGTCACTTTTTCACAGCAACAAAACATGTCCATACCAAATAAAGATTCTTATTACTTGGTGTCAGTGTCATTGTGTGCATTATTGATTTTAATATCTGTGTAGCAGAACAGTATATAACCAAAGTAAATAAAAAAAATAATTAGAATTGACATGTCTTTAACAGGATTCGAACCCGTGTAGTGAAAAGGTTTAGCACACGTATCAGTCAACTTATCTAACTGAGCTACTCAGAACTACAAACGAAGCGGTCTGTTTTAATATCTTTGTCAATTAAAACATGCCTTGCTGTGGTTGTGGACCCGTATAACATGTTTCCATCGATGTTAACATGTTTACATGTTGTTTAGTTACATGTACTCGCGTTAACGTGTTTCTACAAACTGTCCCGCTGAGAGAATAGCTCTCTGTGACTAAACGATGCTTCATCACTTGCTCAAACCATGTTTTTTCTTAGTTCTAGATGTCTACCTGTGCCTTTGGAGTCGTGTTAACTCGTGACCCATGCTCATACATGTAACGTAAATAAAGATTTTATCCAAAAAATGAATACAATGACGATATTATTATGCAACGTATTATGTCTAATATATATAATATATATTTCATATATAATATTATGCAACAGAATATTAGAATATTATGCAATCAGAATATAATAGTCCCATTGACTCGTGTTAGTCTGTGTCTACAAAGTTAAACGAGCTGATATTTTCTCAGAATAGCTCTGACTACGATGTTCCGCTAAATAAGCATACGTTATAAATCGCAGTCCCCCCCCCCCCCCCCCCCATTTTATTTTAAAGAGAATAAAAAAAATCAGGCTACATAAACAAAACTCGTATGTGGATTCGAACCTACTAACAAAAGAGAAGCATGAATGGAACATACGTGCTATCTAACTGAGCTATCAAGCACTGTTGAAATGGGCTTAGCAGCTTTTAGTAATTTTATCGTATGTAGCCAAATCATGTTCATAAGTACCTTGATACAGATGTGACCAAGATCATGAAATGTTGCGATTTTCAATTAATATTCTGTTGCATAATATTATATATGAAATAAATATTATATATATTAGACATAATACGTTGCATAATAATATCGTCATTGTATTCATTTTTTGGATAAAATCTTTATTTACGTTACATGTATGAGCATGGGTCACGAGTTAACACGACTCCAAAGGCACAGGTAGACATCTAGAACTAAGAAAAAACATGGTTTGAGCAAGTGATGAAGCATCGTTTAGTCACAGAGAGCTATTCTCTCAGCGGGAGAGTTTGTAGAAACACGTTAACGCGAGTACATGTAACTAAACAACATGTAAACATGTTAACATCGATGGAAACATGTTAACACGGGTCCACAACCACAGCAAGGCATGTTTTAATTGACAAAGATATTAAAACAGACTGCTTCGTTTGTAGTTCTGAGTAGCTCAGTTAGATAAGTTGACTGATACGTGTGCTAAACCTTTTCACTACACGGGTTCGAATCCTGTTAAAGACATGTCAATTCTAATTATTTTTTTTATTTACTTTGGTTATATACTGTTCTGCTACACAGATATTAAAATCAATAATGCACACAATGACACTGAGACCAAGTAATAAGAATCTTTATTTGGTATGGACATGTTTTGTTGCTGTGAAAAAGTGACGAATCTGCCAATCTGCAAACGTGAATAGCTTACATCTGGAAAGGGACACCAGTTAACACGGTCACCAGTTAAACCGTAACACCGGCGTGCAGTAACTGTTGTAAACAGCGCGTTATCGCCATCATGTGGACTGGAGAACCTGCTTTTTGGGCTGTAGCTGTTAATTATGCATGTATGATATACTTTAGTTGTTTCGTAATATTATGTCATGAATATAAGCACTAGGTACTTATTTAACAATTTATTTGATTTTACGGAACGCTAACTTACATACCTGGTAGAACAAACTTTGAGTAGTCATCGCCGTGCAATCACCGTCACTACGGTTCCATGGTGTAATGGTTAGCACTCTGGACTCTGAATCCAGCGATCCGAGTTCAAATCTCGGTGGAACCTGAATTTTCTTTGCTGCACAGCAAGGACATTGTAAAGCTGTGTGTACAATGTAAAAAGCAATAGCTGTTCACACTAATATATTTAAGTGCAGTTAACTAATTATGAATAAGTTCCATCACCTTAGAATATTTAAAAACCATAATCCCAGCTTTTTGGCACATTAAATTGCTAAACTAAATAGATTTACGTAATATTGACTTACAACAATATGTATTTACAACTTTTGAGTGGTCATAATTAATGATAGAGAATGGTGATGAGGGAACTGAAGAAACAGCTGGAAGAATGTAAACTTAAGCATAATCAGACATAAGCATAATAGATCTGAGAACTTTTTCAATGTTTTAATGTTTAAAATGTATAAATATATATTGATATAAATAAATGTTATAATATTAGTATGATTATAATAAATTATATTATAAAATATTTATATAAAAATAATAATAATAATAAAATATTTTCCTAATGCAAACACTAATAAGAAGTTAACGCAACTAATTATTTTGAGTCAACGATACTGCAGTGTACTTTGTACATTTGTAAATACAAACTGCTTTAATTTATGCTCAACTAAAATTAATGCACTACTTTACTTAGAAATGTTAAGGCAACCGGTTTCCTCTTTTCCAATTAGGTCAACTTATAAAATTTTACAGTGTGTGTATCCTGTTACCAAAATATACATTAAGCATACCTCATTAAATTAATATATGGTCTTTTGGATGTATGAAATTCCACCTTTCCAAGTCGTATTTTCATCCACATTCTCAGATATTTCACTTCAAGTTTTGTCTATTCCTTTCATCCTGGTAAATGTCATGTTTAAGTATTTACTCGGAGAAAGCTTAAAGCCCAAATTAAATGACGATTCTTCTAATTTCCTTAGCTTCCCTGATATTACTCAATGTAGTTAAAAGGGACCTATTATGCAAAAATCACATTTTTCAGTGGTTAAACACAGTTGTGTGGCAACTGTGTAAATAGCCAGCCTCTAATGGTAAAAATACATTTAAAATTAAAATGCAGTTTAATCATTTTTGCAAAGACAAAGGATGAAATATGTTTTCAGTAAACATGTTTAAAAATCAAAGTCAGATATATTTCAAATAAACAAGATTAAGGCAGTAAATCTATCAAATATTGTTGAGTTACTTTTGTCCTTATAATGACAGGGTCAAAGGTAACAATGTGCAGTTTATTATTGATATTACAGTGTGATTAAAAAAGTAACTCTAATTTGATAATCATTTATTCATTTATAAAGAGTTCATTCATTTATTTTCCTTCGATTTAGTCCCTTTATTTATCAGTGGTCGCTATAGTGGAACGAACCACCAACTATTCCAGCAACTACAGCGGATGGCCATCCAGCTGCAACCCAGTACTGGGAAACATCCATGCAATCTCATTCACAATGGTCAATTTAGTTTATTCAATTCACCTATAACGCATGTCTAGATTGGGAGTAAAACCAGATCACCCACAGGAAACCCATGTGAACAACATATTAGGAGCAAACATGCAAACTCCACAAAGATACATCAACTGACCCAGGCGGGGCTTGAACTAAAAACCTTCTTGCTGTGAGTTGACAGTGCTAATCACTGAGCCACCATGTCACCCCTTAAAGTTATAAAACATTATTTGTGGGGTATTTTAGAGCTTAAACTTCATACACATCGTGTAGGGACATCAGAGATTTATTTTACGTCATGTTAAAGGGAGCATAAGAAAGCAGAAACTTAATAAAAACATCAGGGTTTATTGATAAGTGAGTAGTAGAGTTACTTTTTAAAGTAATATATTACAATCTTCTCTACAAATCAGACAACATGGTGACTGATTGGGTAGGACTATTGTCTCAGCAACAAAGTAGCTAGTTCGAGTCACAGCTGGGCGAAGCAGTACTTTCTTTTGCAGAGTTTACATGATCCCCTAGTGTTCATCTGGGTTTCCCAGGTGCTCTGTTTCCCCCCACAGTACAAAGACATGCTGTATGTGAAACGGACAAACTAAATTGGTTAGAGTGTATGATCAGTGCTAGGCTGCAGTAGGAAGAACATTTGCTGCTGAATAAAACTTGTGCCAAAGTAATTGGTAGGTTATTCCACTGTGGCTACCCCTGATATTCAGGCATCAGGGACTAAGCAAAAGAAGAGTGAGTTAGTTACTTTTTAAGGAAAGTTATGTTTGCATTTTTTTAAAATTATGATAGGATTAAAAGTAACTTTACCCAACACTGTTTATGAAGACCACAATTTCTTCACCATTTATTTACATTGGAGCGATTTTATATGTCTGAGCTTATTTCTTCTGTTGAAAACCAAAGAATATATATAAGTAGCCACTGACATTCACAGTAGTAAAAAATATGCATGTCAATGCATGCTGGTTTCCAACATTCTACAGAATATCTTGTCTCGTGTTTAACAAAATAAAAACATTCATAAAAGATTATAATCAGCTGAAAGTACGAAAATGGTGAGTATGAAATAATGTGTTAATGTGTGAAAATAGTGATCACTTAAACAACTATTATCATATGTAGAATAAACAGTCAATTTTTCGACTGTTCACTTCTTCCTTTTATTTAACTGCATTACATAGAATCAATTTTTATTGTCATTGTTTTATATTATAAAACATAACAGCCACACATAAACATATGCAAGAAAATAGAAATAAAGAAGAGGGTATTCCACAATGTTCATTCATTCATTTTCTTGTCGGCTTAGTCCCTTTATTAATCCTAGGTCGCCACAGCGGAATGAACCGCCAACTTATCCAGCAAGTTTTTACGCAGCGAATGCCCTTCCAGCCACAACCCATCTCTGGGAAACATCCACATACACACACACTCTCCTACACTACGGACAATTTAGCCTACCCAATTCACCTGTACCACATGTCTTTGG